AAATTATTTTCCAACAACTTTCTTTTATTACCTTTCATTCATCATTTCCAAAATGCCTGAAAACGCGCTCCCCCGTATATATTGTTTTAACTGCCGTTTTGTAAATTTCATATTTCATCCGGAATAATTAATTCCGCTAAAAATGTCACATTAATTAATTCCATCGATTCCTATTTCTAGTGACTTCTGCAATTCTGCCATGAACAAAAAAGAATAAATAGTTGAACAGAATGTATTGTATTTTAATATTGTATATTATAAAACCAGTGCACAATTTATGTGGCATGAAATATTCATTTTTGCGCATCGAAATTATTCGCTTTGCCCAATTCAAATTATAATTTAATAATAGACCGCTATTTATTTGTATCGAACCGAATGGATTTTCATACAATTTGCATCGCTTTACGTTACATTATAATATTATCAACAAAATATTTGATTGTTTTCAAACGATACGATTACATAAATTGTTTTTAAACATATTTACTTATTTAATCATAAAGAAAATATACTTTAATTTGATATGCAGAAACAATTCGAATATAATAACAAAATATTATCAACAATATTTGTACAAATAAATTGTTTTTTAAATATATAAAAATATTATATTCAATAGTTTATGAACTTAATATGAATTTAATTACATTTCGAAGATACTTAGTTTTTAATTAATATTTAATTGCAATACAAGCGTTTTCAATTTTATTTTCCTCAATTACATAAAAATGAGTTATCTATCAACAAATATGATAAATCTTCGAATTTCAATAAACATTTTGACCTTCCCTTTTTTCGAATTTCAATAAAAAATTTGACCTTCCCTTTTTTCAGATTTTCGTTGCAAATACCACCAGAGTTTAGTTATTATCGGTAAAAATAAGTCCCTTCAAACCTTTCTACGTAAAAGCTCATAAAATCACAAATACCTGAATATTCGGAGAACTATGAGAATATTTCTCAGATTTGTCATTTCTTTAAAAAGAAATCTTTTAAACAATGTTTCCGTATAAACATGTATAAAAGTCATAAGTTAATAACTTTTTTCATTAAAATTTTAATTAATTTTTTAAGTAAAATACTAATTGTTAATTTAAAAATTAAATAACTATATTTTAATTGTTGATTCCAATAATATTAAAACTAAATATATTAATCCTGCATATTTGTTAGAAGGTTTGTTAGAATTTCTAACTCTAATTATAGGCAACTGAAGCAAACATTGCCATATTTTACGGTATATTAAACACAGATGATTGTTCATTCTATCTATTCAATACAACAGATGCATTCACCATGAACTAACTAAATTATCAATTGGATGTTTGTTAATCGGGATAACATAATATTATACGAGTTTGAATTCCACGGAGCGGCAGATCTCATGAGTATTCTCCAGTATATATTGACTACCATCCTCATACATCGGAAGATCCCCCAGTTAATAAAGTTTGCGTTAAATAAACACACGATATGCCAGTTCTTGTGCCGCTTCGATGAAAAGGTATTCTCTTTCCTGATACCCAATCGATGCGGAATACGGAGCTTCCTCTCACGATGAAATTAAATTAAAGATTTACTAAGAATTTCCAAAACATTTTTTACATGAAATAATTTGGCTGTAAAATGTATGATGATTTAATTCATCTTTGTTCGGAGACAAAATTATACATGCAGTTTTATGCAAATTTGTTAGCTTGTTTCCATTTCTGAATGAGAGATGAGCAGTAGTTTCGGATTCGGTAAATATTATTATGAAAGTCATGTCAGGAAACTTCAATCAGTGGTAATGCGAACTGCCGAAACCAGAGTTTATATTAAATTTTAGTTGAATATATTGATTCGCTCTGGTCGGATTTAGGAAAGAACATTTTATAAGCGTAAACTGAGTACGAATTGTTTTATGAGCAAAAAAAACTCTAAAAACCTGATTGAAAAAAAAAACCTTTCAAATCGATTTATAAATGCAGTTACATATAAATTATTCAATTGCTTTTAAACCAAAAAGTAGATCAGGCTGTTTTTTGTTTTGTTATTGTTCATTTTATGTTTATTTCCCAACAAAATAATGAATATACTATTATTATTATTATTATTTAAAATATGAAATTTAAACACTCTATTATAAAACAATCAATGTTTATAAAATAAACAAAATATTAATAGATAAAATAATTCATTTTGTATACATTTCTTCTTTATTATAACAAATGTAAATAATTATATTACTTTTTTGAATACTTAATTATAATTTCGGTTTTCACAAATAGCGTTATGTTTGTTTTGAAGGATTTCTGTCCATGTTATGATTTTGTCCTTTTGATAATTGAAATTTATCACTTTTAGCTTCCTTTAGAAGCCAAATGCGTGTAATTTTATTAGCATCTGTTAGTTTAGGTTCAATTTTAACAGGAGTGCAATACCGAACATTTTCCACGTATTTTAGTTTTTTATTTTCCTCAAGACAAGAAAGCTGTTGACGCTCACAAAGAGGGGTCTATATCACAAGCCCGACAACCGAAAGACCGTCTATTGAAATCCCGACTGTATCGAAATCTCGACGTTCGAAATCCCAACTATATCAAAATCTCGACAACCATAATTCCGAATGTATCAGATTCTCGACAACCATAATCCCGACAAACATAACACGACTATATCAAAATCCCGACTATATCGAAAATTTTTACAATAACATTTTTAAATTATTCCGTAGGTCAGCGTAGTCACCTTGTGCTACAATTTTATTATTAATAACAATAAATTATTATTTATCTATTTATTTTTTTTTAATTATTCATAATATAACTTAACATTATGAAATAATCTCAAATACAATTAGATTATTAATTGTTATTATTTATTATTAACAACAATTTAAAAGTTACTATGCTTCGCAATAATTTAAAATTGTTATTGTAGACATTTTTTATATAGTCGGGACTATGGTTGTCGGGATTTTAATATAGTCGGGATTTTGACTATTATGTTTTGTCGGGATTATGGTTGTCGGGATTTTGATACAGTCGGGTTTTCAATAGACGGGAATTTGATTGGCGGTATTTCGGCTGTCGGGCTTGCGATTGCCACCGCACAAAGAGATATGTGAAGTGTTGATAGTTTAACAGAATACAATTTTTCACTCAAACATAAACAACGACCAGCTGAAGTTTATGATGACCATATCAAAGTCTTACTTGAATTATACCATTTATTTAAAAGTTTGCAAAAACTAATTATGATGACCTGAAGACGCACTTAGTTTACTTTTTTGCTGAAGAGGACTAGAAGTTCTATGAGCACGGAATCATGAAGTTACCAGACAAAATGATAATTGATTAAAGTTTATTAGTATACAAAAAAATGAATTTTATTTCACACAAAAAAACCGAAATTATTTTATTACCAATCCAATATTTTCAATTTCTTCTTTTATTTTCTATTCTATTTTTATTTATTTTATGCATAAATTTTGAATGCAATTATATTTTATGTAAGAAATAATGGAACTTTATTTTCTTTTGCAAAAACTAATTATTTGATAAAATCGATATTCATTCCGCAGTGCAGTCAGACGTGATACCGCTAAGATTACCTCGCCATTGCTTCCTGCTTTATCAATATCCTTGAGAATCCTGATTATATTTCCAATATCTGAGAATTGTAATAAAAGATGAAATTATTAAAAACGCATTTATCAATGTGGACAGACAATGTAAATCTTATAAAAGTTATAAAAAGAAGCTTTAATCTTTTTTTTTTAAGTTTATAAGAAAAAGCAATTATTTTTTTTACTTTTATAACTTTAATTAATACTGATTTACTTATTATTCATTAAAATGTTATTTTTGTTTAAAGGAGTTAATTATTATTTTTATAGTTAGAAAAAGTTAAAAGATTTTTTTGAATTTTTCATATTATTATGAACATTAGATCTTAACATTAACACTTCTTCTTAAATCTGGATCATTTTCACTGAAAACAATAAAATATTTTCAGCAACTTTTTAAATCTTTGATTGTTAACATTTTTTCAACATTAACTTCATTACTTACTTCTTCATTTAATCAATATCGTCTTCATTGATATTTTGGAAACCTATGTTGTTTTCTTCTTCTAGTACAACATATTTTGTCGGATAATTATCGAATATTGGGTTTAAATTGCGTACTTTGTTATATCGAAGCTTCGTTAATAGAGGTAACGTTAATTATGGAAACTTCATACAAAAATATTTTCATGAAAATGAGTTAAACCAAAATAACACAAATATTTCACTGAATTCTCTATGTTATAATGAAACACGTATTTAATTTTATACAGGAACAAAATGAACGAGGACAATTCACTAAAAACTTCTGCGCCTGTGTTAAATTTGATAATTGTTTTGATTAACATCCGCGCAAACGTTTAATTGTCGAGAGTTTGAATTAAATGCATTTCATTTAATGTTAATGTTGATAGATTCACAATGCACTTGTGTAATATAATTAAACAGCTAGTACAAAAATGGGAAGAGATTGAGAAAAAATATAAAATCAAATGAGAAACTTGAAGAATTTAAGTGCACACATTCCTCCAGACGTATATAACTTAATTATCATGTAATTCTCGTTCAAAGTCTGGATCTGTAATTGGGAAAGTTTTCAAATTGTCTTACCAAATGAAATCCCTCAATCGGGCGCTTTAATTATGACGGAATCGCTGCGGGAATCGAATCCCAATTGGATAATAAATACAATTATTTATTAGTTTTTTTTTTATTTTGATAAAAATATTACAATAATAATACTAATAATAATATTCAGTAAATCAGTTAAACATACATAAATAAAAAAAATAGCGTATTTATTATATCTATTTTATT